ACACATTGTTTCAAGCTCAAAACTTGAAGCAATCGTTCAATTGTTCGTCCGAGATCAAGTCATTGCGACCCTTGGATCAACAACCTATGCATCTACATCAAATTTGAAGATTGACTCAAAGGAAATTTGTAAACAGAGATTGTAACCCTACACATTCATCAATACAAATCTATTTTATACACGTGTTCTCGTTTCATTCATTACAGAATTTTCGTGTTCATAGTGCCCAACACATTTCAGCCTTAAGGACCATATGTTGGCGCTCGAGTTCAACCTACAAACATTGATATACTTAATTACTACGATCTGATGGTAGTCCTCTTCACTTGTAAGTGAGACGTTTTAGGTTTGAATCTCGTAATTGATGAATTAGATGTCAGATTAGGTTGTCCATTGTGTGGCATAACCGAACTTCTCCTTCCTTTTAGTGTAAAAATACATTGTTGTACAAAAAAAACAAAAAAAAAAAAAGCCTATAACCCATTGGAGTTGCTTAGATGCTTTCCTTTTCACTTATGTGCTTGGTAGAGATGCCTAAACTTGTTAACCTATAAAAGAACAAACAATCGCAAGTAAGCCTAAGACCGGGATGGGGTGTGCCGGTCAAAGGCTCTCCGACGGTTAAGTTAATAAGCAATATTAAACTCAAGCAATAGGCAAAAGAACAAGTATGAAGACATTGCGTTACCAGATATGAACCCTAAAAGGGTGTATTTATACTAGTATAGGAGATGAGCTTTTAGGTTTAGCTTTACAAGTGCATCGAGATTCTTGAAAGGGTTCTTTATCATTGGAGCCCTCTTCGTCTCTCTTCATTGGAGTCTTCTGATGACGACTAAACTTCATCAGAGTTAATGGTCCTGTCCAAATCTGTTTTATAGCTTCCATATGAAAATTTGCATGTTAAGGGTAAAAGCTTGTCTCCCTAAGTAATTGTATCTTTTTTGCCCTGTTCATGAGACTTTATAACAAACATGTCGTTATAAACAATTGCAATTTATTCATGTCATTTAGCCTATTTGAATAAAATGTTGCAAAAAATTTCCATCCTTGCTTCCCAATCATGGAATAATCTGGTAATCTGACAAATTTCTTCAAAGTAATTTAACTTCGAAGTACTAAGTAATATAATAGAATATGAGCACGTTTGTAGGCCCCAGACAGAGCTCAAAAGCCCCTTAGGTAACATTGATTCGGAAAAATGTTACCTCTCAAACTTGGTATCCATGAAGATTCCCTCTGCAATTATCGGAGTACCACCTTACTCCGACATTGAGTCTAATGCCCATGAAAAATCATTTTACTATATATTTGTCATAATGTATTTGTCGGATTAAAGACGAAAAAGTGATAAGTCTTACCCAGAATGCCCTCTAGAGTAAAGAGTTGAATAAGTGCTCCTTTCTCAACATGTTGTCTTATTCGTTCACCTTTCCCCCTTTCGGGTCAGAGGATTTTAAATATGGCTATAACTAAGAAGGGGCTTCCTCCTTAGTTTTGATTGCTGGTTTGTCCCTAGTGAATCTTAAACAAAAGTTCGTCTGGGACTTGGTCACCTGCATGTGGATCGAAAACACTTTTCAAATCCTTTTGTCAAACCCTATACGTCGGACCATAGTGTTTTTTACTAGACTACACTTAGTTGGCTTGGCTAAGGTACTTCCGCGTATCGGAGCTCTATTGAAATAAAATTCCTCTTGAGGATTTCCTAGTCCAGATGCCTCATTCAGACCTGCTTAACATATGGTGTTGCAAAACTTACTAGGTACACTGGTTTAGGATAAGAGTGATCATACTCAAGGTTGGGACTCAGAGCCACCTCTTAGATGATTATCGAATCGCCTTTTTGTTCATTCCCTCTAATGCGTAGAGCATGGGTTTAAATGTTATAACTCATAACCCACAACCTTCAGGTTGCATAATCTTTTCGAGAGTTGGATGGTGCACTGGAGTTCCAGGTCAAGGGGGCTATATCCCATGTCCCCATGCTCGTTACCCGCCAACCGTAACCGCACTTGTTATGCTTCGAGTTTCCCAAATTGCTAACTGAACAATATGCGAAGTTTCAAAGTTTTGTGTTATTTAGGCTTTTTAAGTATTCTCACTACCGCAAAAAAAAAAAAAAAAAAAAAAAAAAAAAAAAAAAAAAAAAAAAGAGGAAGAATGAACTAGTACGTCTCATAACTCTGAGAATTTAAAAAAAAAATCTGAGAATTCTTTAATTAAAGACTTGTGTTGACAAAGGGGGCGTGAAGGATTGCCTACATATTCCCGGAAAAGGGAACCAAATTACTGGTGTAGTTCAAGAAAGATGGTATAATGTAAAAAAAATTCATTGGGATCATTCTTTAACAAATAGCCTATGGTGAGGCGATACAAAAATGAGTTCTCCAGGGACTTCTCTACGCATAGACAGCAACATGTTAGGCATAGTATCGGAGGTCCATCCATGCGCTCAAGGTTGTAAGCAATATTAAGACTCAAGTGGTAGGTAAGAGAATAAGTGTGCAGAGATTGCGTTACCAGAGATGAACCCTAGAAGGGTGTATTTATACCAGTCGAGGGGAGGACCTTTTAGCATAATAGAATATGTATAGAACACGTATTAAACCTAGAGAATGCCATAGCATATCTAGGAAGTAGATATTGCATCCTCCAAAAAGTTTGATTACTTGCGGCGCATGCCAATCCTTATATTATAATAACTCCAAGATTATAGGAAACCTGTTGATTCCTTGTTGGATTAGGTTCAGTACAAGAATGGTCTATCTTAGCGAAGTCGACGGACGTCAACTTCACCTAATGATTCCGAAACAGGATGATTGTGACATCACTGATCCATTTGGTCAACTCCCAATGGAGGTTGTTGAGTCCATGATCAAACTCCTGAGGTAGGTGTATTCAGATCCGTTTTACTCTAGCCCTGAAAAATCATGGCCCACAATCGTGATAATGTCTCTGCGGAGTGGATGATCTATTGGCAGTCCTCTCTTTAAAGCTTTCCAAGCGACTGTTTTGTTGTAATCGATAATCTTGGCTTTTTCAATAAGGAAGCGCTGAACATACTCCCTAGTAAACCAGTTGGGCTTCTTGACTACACTGAAGAGATGGTCAGACAAATTATTGACAACATGATCAAAATAACCACAATAGGATAAGAATTTCCAAATTTTATAGGATTCTACTTTTACGTTTATATAATCACATTCTTAAAAATAACTCTTTTCGCAACAGGAAAGATGTGAACTCAATAATTATGCGTTGCGAAAAAGGACCACACATAGACAACTTGGTCAAGATAACCATAATAACCTTATCACATACGCTATTGACTGATCTTGAATGATGTTGAGAAAAACAAGGAAAAATGAAGCATATATTTAAGTCTCGGGGTAGGTTGAATATCAACTTTTTGGGTGCAAAATAAGACTCAAATTTGTTTTAGAGGTTGGCACAGTTTGGTTCGGTGCGGTTATGGGGTGAAACCAAAACCAAAATCGATTTTTTTTTGCCATGTGGTTCGATGCTATTTTGAAGCTTGAACCGAAATAGAACCAAACCATTTAGTTGCAGTTCAGTTTTATTTCAAATGGTTTTGGTTTCAATTTCATACCATTTGCAAATTTGAAAAGAAATTCACGATCACCAAGCTAAAATTCAACTTCAAATAAAGTTCAACATCAAAAGGTCTTATGGCATTACTTTAGAAAAACCCAATTGAAAAGGTTAAGTTCTAAAACAAAAGTTCAAACAAATTTCACAATCAAAATGCCTTGTGGCATAAGTAGTATAACCCGAAAAAATAAATTGTTTCATACAGTTCAACAAAAAGGTTTTGGTGCTTCAATTTTTAAGTCACTACTTTACATCGTTCAACCCTCTCTTTCCCTTTCCTTTTGGAAATTTACTTTTCGAAGGTTCAGGAGGCCTTTGAGCTTGTGAACAAGCTTGAGAAGACGATACCTGGGAAGACTTTGGACCTTGTGAAAGTGAAACTAATGGATGAGAAGCCAATAAACCTTCTAAACTAGAAACTTGAGATTACCTTGAAACTTTTTGTTGTGGTTGTGGATTAAGAGTAAGAGAGGCGATACTTGAATTCAAATTGACAAACTCTACACAATACAAACACATGAACAATATAATTACATAAGTTGTGATAAACTTTAAAAAATCTACAAAAATTTCAGCACACATTGAAAAAATAAAACTAAGAAAGCCTACAAAAAATTCTAGGTACTTGAATTTTCCATTTTTATTTGCTATTTTCATTCCACACATGTAGGTAGACAACAACGAATCAGTTACAATCAAAGAAAAACACTAACTTTCCACCCATTCTAGTACATAAGTAGATGGAAAATTCAATTCACACAAGTAGTTTAATTTCATTCCACCCCTAAAGATAAACAACAACAACAACAACTAAGAATCAACAAAAAGTGAGTATCGAACATAAGCTACATGTTCTACAGTAACCCACCAACCCTAATTCACACGTATTTAAAACTCAAACTCATGCATGCATTGATTGTTTGCATGAATCATATATATCTATCTCATAATTCGAATATGAATTATACAGCGCAGGAATTAGAAAGATTTTTTCTTTTCAAAATCATTGGAATCGACGAGATAAGGGTTTGGAGAAACGTGTATAAACCTAATGCCCCAAAATCGTTGGAATTTAGCAAATTCATTTCAAAAACTATACAGTGGTAAATGCTGGAAATTCATGTAAAACTTATGAACATAAATAATTGACATGGAGATATAGTCTCTTAGTAGACCCCACCTAAGATGATGCAACACTAGTGAACTCCTTTCAAATCAGCCTCATAAAATTAGACTCATATTAAAAGACCACTTTATTTAATTTTTAATTTTTGGGGTTCGATTTTCGGCTCCAAGTCCCCACCCTTTTAAGGCAGAAATGAATATTTAAGCGTAATTACAAAACCTCATAACTTTTGGCGAGCCATCCCCAACAAATCCTGAACTAGAGACCAAATTCATAGGCCTGCATTTGTATAAAGCTTTTTGGATACAATACAAGTTATATTCTAGATCAAAGTCATGCTTTGCATGGAATACAAATATAATTTTACATATAACACACAGTCACAGTACTGCCCCAGAGATGTCTTCCAATTTGTTTTCGAGTTAAGACACACAGATCACTCGTATCTTACAATAACTCGACTTTATTTAGAAATTATAAGGAAGTGCAACTCTCCATCTGTCTCCACTTCTTAACCAGGGAAACTAAGGAAGCCTGAAAATACCGAATACAAAAACCGATTAGCAATTTCGTTGAAGATGTTGAAGAATAAAAGCATCGTAGCGGTACAATTATACTTAACGAACATCATGAATCCGTGATACGCTGAGGAAAGGAGCCAAACGGCCCAAAGAAACATGAGGTACAGGAGAAAGGAAAAAATAGCATAGCCCAGATGAGCACTTGCTAATCACAGGCTAAAAACAAAACAAAAAACCTACATCAAAACTCAACGGCTAATAAGGCATGGCAACCCCATTGCTACCTTTGAAAACAAGCTTGCGCCACGAAGGAGATGGACTATGTTCAACCCAAGCTTTCCTCTAGAGAAAAGAAAATTAAGAGCCTGTTTGGTATCCTATTTGAAATTTTTTATCATTTCTTAAAACATTTCTTAAGAACATTTCTTGAAAACAATTTTCTTTAAGACTCAAAAACTTGATTGGTTTGTGATTTAAAATTTTTAAATCTTAAGACTTAAACTAGACAAAGAAATCTAAAAGGAGATGGTCACATGAGAGGGAGAAAGAGGAGAGAGGAGGAAAGAAAGTAAGAGATGATTGAAGGAAAGAGAAAGAAGAGAGAGGATTGGACGAGATAGAGAGGAAGAGGAGTTGAGAGAAAGAACCGAGAAAATGAAGAAAACGGATTAGAGGAGAGACGAAAAAGGTAAAAAAAAAAAAAGGAGAGAAAGAAGAAAACAGAGAGATAGGTTTGGAGTGAGAAGGGAGGAGAGAAAAAAAAAATAAGAGAGTTTAAGTTTAAAAACTCTAAAAACTCATTTTTTATGTTTTTAGAGAATATACTATATTTTTGAGTTAGTCTTGAGTTCAGTTTTTTAAAATAGTTCTACCAAACAAGTTTTTAAGACCTAAAATTTGAAAATTGTTTTTGAGTTTAAAAAGTTGGATTCAAGTAGAGTACCAAATAGGCCTAAAGTTTTTTAAATTGGTAATGTTTAAAATTCGACCTGATCATGCTGAGATGAATAAGCTTGAGAGAACAACCCATGATAAGCAAGCAAACCCTCCGCGTGGACAACAAAATATCCCTTATCTACACAGCTCCCTAGTATTTTACTACCTTTATTCTTCGTCGTATCATCAAATAAGCACAAGCCAAAAGTCAAAAGCAAACGCCAACAGCAAACAGCATATATATTGGAAGCGGCTCACCCCAGTTTGAGAGACAAGATGTCGGAGCAGTCATCTTCGAGAGAAAAAGCACTGCTGGAGCAGGTGGTGACATTTGTGGCTGATTCAGATGTCACGCCTTCTTCTCCAACATTATTCAGGTTTTCCAACTCCATGATCGCCGCAGGTCCGATATCTCCTCCAGCGGATAACATCACCATCTACCATGCAAAAGAGTAATGCTAAGAAGATTAAATTTTGTAGACTAAATTAACAACAAAGAAAAAGATCGCCCAAATTTAATTTTTTAAAAAAGATTTATTGTTTTCATTAAATAAAAATAAAATACAAGAAAAATATAGATGATGTTAGTTTCTTACCCTCTGCTTTAGCTGGTTGTTAGCTTCTATAAGCTCAACTCCCTGCATGTATAATCAGTGCATAGAAGAGGACAACAAAGCAAATATTCATTAATAATTAATTAATGTTTATTATTCTCCTTTTCGGGAAATTCTTGACTATTTGTATATATTTGTGGCTATTCGATAAATAGACACAGACAACAATCATCTATTTAATTACAAACCTTATTCGCACGTGCCATAATCTCACTCATAATCTTTTTTTCCTGGAATAAACGGAAAAGTTGGAATTAGATGTTGCTATATATACACATATAATCCAAAATATTTCTTTAGTAAAATAACCTAATTAAAGTACGGCAAATACATGGTTCAATTCTACATTCTTTACAACCAAGAAAAAAAAAGGTCAAGTCTACATTCAATTTGACCAAAAGTCTAAATTTGAAAGATACGCCTGCAAAAGAATAGTCAGATTAGGAACTTGTTGACGTTTTTATTAGGGTAATGTTAGGAAGATTAAATATTGTAAACTAAATCACTTGAAAGTTGATGATTGAATTATTACTTAAGTATTGATTAAAGTGCTTATTTCTTATTGATGACACATCATTTAATTTGCAAATTCAATTACAAATTCGGTCTACTTAGTATTACTCTTTTGATTAAACATGATGATCAAAAAAGGTGTATACGAGGCACAATGTGTCGATCTATTTATTTGATTAAGCTCGATCATAGCTCACTCAAGCATAGGACAAAAAGTTAAGAGGAGGAAGCGAAATATTATTTTATGGAGTGTTAATAACAAATTTCTTATTTGAACAAAATTAAGATATTTGTCTTTTTCTTTACAAGAACAATATTTGAACAATGACTAATTAAGTAATAAATCTTCCGGATCATTGCACAATAATATGTATTAAGCATCAGTTTTAAGTAATACCTTAGTTTTAATCACACGGCCAATGCTTGCTTGCACCAATTTTTCTAACTTGTTCAGTTGATCCAGATCCAAGTCTTGAAGGTCCTCACCCTTCATCTGCCTTTTGCATGACAAACCAGTTTCAGTAGACTCGTCAAACGATCATACCAGCTTAATTAACCACCATATATCTTACAAACAAATCGATAAATTATAATTACCTCAGCTTGCGGGTCTTATCCTCAAGTTCCTTACTCAGCCTGATCGTGTTTTCTTTCTCCAACTAATTAAATGGGAAATATAAATATATTTATATCATCATTTAGATAATCTACTCTTTCACGTGAAAAAGCTTATAAAAGAAAAACAAGAAAGAAAATAAATGTAATCTATCACATGAAAACTTAGAATGTTCAATGGAAGTTAAAACTAAAACTTAAGTCATTACTCAACCCCAAGTATTTACACGTATTTAGTGTAACAGGCCAACCCTGCTGCATGCATATATAGAAGTCTAACTTGTAATGTTGTAAAAATATTTTCCGATGCTCCAAGTGCAGATCACAGAATATATTACATTCACTTGACACAATTAATTGTTGTACCATTAAAAATGTAAATTTTAGAGCAAAGATGGAAAAAAAGAAAAAAGAAAAAAAAACTAATATCGAACTGAATTACCTGCAGTTGGTGAAGCGTGATTTGATCCGATTTTTCCCCACCAGTATGTGATTTGTACCTTGCAATCACATCCTTGGTACTTGACAACATAAGGGGATTAACTATAATTAGTATGTTTCATTATTACTTATAACTTATTCACAAAAAAATAAAATTATATCCAACAAAAAACCAATAGTACTTGCATGTTGCTCTTGCAAACACTTTTGCAATAATCCCAATAAATATTAGTACTTGCAAACACTTTTCCTTATTAATTGGAAGATTAATCTAAGCACATAGTACTCTTTTATTGGTCTTGTATATCTTAGGACTTAATTAGGAGGCTTATTGTTGTATCATACTATCATTGATTCCACACGATTGTCAAGTCCTCACTATCTGCTGATGCAAGAATGTTGAGGTACACCTTCCAAGTCAACCCTCTTTCACATTTGGTTCCAACGATAGGTCCCTTAGGTACCGTTTGGTACGTGAGACAGGACGGAACAGAGTGGAACAAGGCGTTTCGTCCCACGTTTTGGTGCGTCTAAAACGGGTGAAACGAGCTATTCCACGGGACGAATTTTGGGTAAATTTTCCTTCCGTCTCACCCTCCTGGAACGATTCGTTCCACATCCATGGAACACAAAATTATAACCTCTCCGTCTCCTTCTTCTTCCTCCTTGTTTCCATCCGAGGGCGTCTTTGTTCCCTCTCTGTTCCGTTCCGTCTCGTCCCATTCCGTTCCGTCCCGTCTCGTCTGCATACCAAATGATACCTAGATCACTCTGCAGAACACTGGAAACCTCCTCCGAAAGTGGGGTGTTGGGGGTTGGGGGTGCTTATATTCTTTACTATAGTACTTAAGGACTTAATTTAGCTTCGTAATCAATCGAATACAAGATGTCAGAAGGCAGGCTACCTCTATTACATGTCAACAAGCCCCTTGATCCTGGACAAATATCCTTAAATTCCATAACCCTACACTTGTTAAGACAAGATTTCATCAGTCACTCAAAACTAGTGCTAAAGCCTAAAGGACTATCCATAAGCTATACAAAACTTAACATGCACTTACTTGACCATAATTTAGGGCAATATTGGCAATCCAGTCTCATGTTTAATAGTAAGTTTTATCCAGCTTTAGACGACGTTATTGCTCGTAGTCTATAAATTGCATAAACATATCACACACACGGGCATTATAGATTATTTGTTTGATATATTTGGACAGAAGTTGGGCTTGAAAAGAGGTGAATGAAACCTAATTTGTGTCCCCCAATTTTGAGTTTGCGAGAACAATGTCCAAAGTATCTTGAATGAGAGGTAAGCTATAAAGAATGCTTTGATATTATTATAGCAACTCAAAAATGCTTGGTTTGATGTTATGTTAAAATTTTGGGCCAAAAAAAAAATGTTCGGTTAAAATGCTTCCGGTGGTGATGAAGTGTATCCGACGGCTTTAAGAAAGATTTTTAACTATGAAAAAAAATATTCTAAACTTTCCATGAGAGCTTGAGATGTAGGATCCCAAAATCCCCAAGTTTAGCAAATAAGTTGGTGGTTGGTGTTGGCTTATAAACTTGGATTTAGCATCAAGGCTAAAGCTTTTACGGTGGTCGACGAATTTTGTCCATGGAGCATGGGTTTCAAAAGAGAGTAAAAAGAACTTAAAAACTTGAGGTTATGGAAGAAAATATTTACTTGAGGTTATGGAAGAAAATATTGTAGTCATACTTGTGGATGGCTTATTGGGAAGCTTGCTGTAGCCAAGATAAATTTCTTGCAGAAAATATTTACCTGAGGTTATGGCAGAAAATATTGTAGTCATACTTGTGGATGGCTTATTGGGAAGCTTGCTGTAGCCAAGATAGATTTCTTGTAGCTAGAAGGAAGTCCTCCATACCTACCGTTGAAGGAAGTAGTAGAAAATTCTTTATGCTAGAATGCTTGCAGTACCCACATCCTCTCCTCTTGTTTTGTTAATACAAGCCCAATATATAGAAGTTGAACCAGTCTTATTTCTAGTGAGCAAAAGGAGGCACTAGAACAACAACAACAATAAAGCCTTATCTATTAAGTGGGATCGGCTGTTCTGTTTTTTATGACCCGCTCTTGTAGATGATCACATGCTCGTCTATCTTTTTAAAGAAAGTATTGGCTAAAAAGAGATCACATGCCAATGCAAAATCCAAGATGTTGGCCAAAATTTAAAAAAACAAAAAACAAATATATAAAGGTTGAAAATTTATCTTCTTTATAATGAGTAAGAAGAAGTGTTGGAAACTACTTGTTTTCAGTGGGTATTGGAATTTTCTTATATCTTATGAATGAAAGATATAAATTATTTAAAAAGACACTAGAAAATATCTTTCTCTTACCCATCAAGGGAAAGCTAGATCACATGCTCTTCTATCTTTTTAAGGAAAGTATTGACTAAAAAGATCATATGTCAATGCAAAATTCAAGATGTTGGCAAAAATAAAAATAAAAAACAAATATATAGAGGTTGAAAAATTATCTTCTTTATAGTGAAAGAAGAGGCATTGAAAACTACTTATTTTCAATGGGTATCAGAATCTTCTTATATCTTATAAATGAAAGATATAAATTATTTAAAAAGACACTAGAAAATATGTCTTTCTCTTACTCATCAAGAGAAAGCTATAAATTTTTCAAAGGCATCAAAATCTTCTTATATCTTATGAACGAATCATAAATTATTTAAAAATACACTAGAAAGTATCTCTTTCTCTTGCCCATCAAAGGAAAGCTATAAGTAATGGATTGGACTTCCATGCTCCAAAAGTAGCATTTTGTTCTTTCTTAATTTACAAAAGCATTTTCAATTTGTTCCTTTGTTGCTTTAGATAATGTTTAGAGAGGTGTGCTTTTGGGAAGTAAACACATATTTTTGGGTCAAAATCAAAGGAATAATGGTAGTAGACCGAGGTGAGGTGAGCTCTAGCACGGTAATAACTGATCATGTCATGCACAAGGCAATGAGATTTGAGTGGTTCGCCTTAGATGGGCTGCATCCACTTCGTGCTGTATTTAATAATTATTTGACATGTGTATCCCACTTCGAAATGAAATCTGTTAGATTCAGGAGACCTTTACAAGAAGAATGGGAGAGGTGAGAGAACTGGAGAGTGGTTCCAGAGGAAGTAAGCCTAATCTTTTGCTTGGAGGTGGCTGCTTTATGCATCCATGAGAGACCCCACAGCTGGTTGACAGGTGGCTCAATCCAGGTGATGGAGAGTATAAAAAAAAGAGTAATGTTATTCATACTATGTTTTTGTATCACATTTTCATACCATCTTAGGTGGCATTTGATGTAGACAGCCACATCATTTGAATTAATCAGATTTTTAAATTGAATTCATCATTTAATAAACTAATAATTAAGAAAAACTAGTTAATTAAATGATGATTGTGGTATATGAAAAGTCTTTCTCCTTCATTTCCTGTTTTGCAAATTTTTCAAATGATGTGGCTGTTCATATTAAATATCATCTAAGATGATATATAAATGTGGTATAAAAACAGGACAAGGATTGTCTGCCCTCCTAGTTATGGTGCCCTTCCATGCCCTCCTATTTTGTGCGGTCACGGTTAAGCCACGTCAACATTTTATATTAATTTTTTAATGAGATAATAAGACAAAAAATAATAAAAATATAAAATATTAACGTGGCTTAACCGTGACCGCACAAAATAGGAGGGCATAGAAGGGCACCACAACTAGGAGGGCAGACAATCCTTGTCTATAAAAACATTATATGAATAGCATTACTTGTAAAAAAAACTACTGGTCAAAAATAGCTGTTTCCAGCCTCGAGGCACCAATATCTAATGATATCTGATGGACATCTGGCATCTCAAAATGTGATGGGGTGTGGGGCTTTGCGGTCGACACGTGCCCTATAGATAATGCCCAAGCCGACATGGATAATCAGTATCCTGCTTCCTGTGGCCTGGCTATCAACGAAGGGATTGAGGTCAACTCCCCTTGGTTAGCAGGTGGTGATGACCACAGCTTAGTCAATTTGACATGGATGATGTCACTAAACCCTAAATTCACGCGACTATTCATTATTGGTGCATCCGACTTGGAAAAGGAATAGATAAAGTGTCTCATAGTAAAAATAGGAAGATCTAGATAACAAAAAGCTTATTCACTCTCTACCAAATAACGTCTTAAAAGCTAGTTTTAGATTTTCATCAACAAAATAAACGACGTAAAAGACAACACCATACAATAAGGGTATCTTTTCTATGCACGTTGATTTGGAATGATAGATTGATACTAAATCCTACATAGTATATACATTCCAGGTTAAAAAAACCACTTTAGAAATGGTATTTCAGTTTTATTAATATTGTCATCACGTACTATGTGGAGGGAGTTTTTTTTTTAACTAAAACAAAAGCAAAACTTTATCTAAATTCTTATTCCACAATTACATTTCTACATATTAATCTCACCCTTCCTCTCATGCACATTACTTATGGAAGTAGGTTTTAATCTTTGCAACTACTCAAGTTCGTTTATTGTTTCATGCATGCACATGAAAAAACAGGTTATATATGGCCAATAGCTGCACCACTCATTGCCCTACTTCACGCATGCATACATATTTCCTTCTCAAAGGTCTTCAAGGTTTCTATGATGAATTCCCAAGTTTTCATCATATTACTTTATTCCTAGTAAGAGAAACCCAAAGCACGCGCGCGCACATATATATATATATATATATATATATATATATATATATATATGTTTGAATGTTCGTATTTTAAGTCCTTACAAATTAACAGTCATTGTAGTTTAGGTGGGGAGGATGAAGGACAACTTTTGGAACATAACCCAACATCATGTGTTGAAGTTGACATGGATATACATATTCATATACATATTGGTATGTATATATATTGTACGTAGATAGTGTTACACTCTTTTACTAGCTAGAGTATTTTATAATCATTTTATATTGTAAAATTATTTATTCATAACTGATTATTTGAATTCTAGTACGAATGATGGTCTAAGAAATAATATACCGTGTATCTAGAAAGGGAAACGGTGTACCCCATTTAAAAGGATATATACATATATTATTCATTTCATAAACCCCAACTTACCAATTTGTGATAGGTGGGGGAAATCAGATTAACGCGGCAAGATAAACTATGAAACTGTAAAATAGTAATAAGATTACATAATTCACTAGACAAGTGGCTTTTGTATATAGAGATTTCTGCATGGCGGACACGATTGCATTTAGCATGTAAAGCAAAGAGATCAGCAAGTAACTTACAAAGAATCACCACAATTCCACATATTGAAAGCATGTAAAACTACGAAAAATATTCTCAAACTTGGACACCTAGCTAGAAGTTGTCTCAATCAAAAGTACACCTCCTGAACTGGAAATTATATAGTTATCCTCGTACTAGCTAGTTAACTCTCTCTCTCTCTCTCTCTCTCTCTCTCTCTCTCTGGGGGAAAGTTTTTGGATTCTCTAGCCTTTCTTCTGTGCCTTATCTAGCTGACACCATAGATTATGTGTGCTTGTGTACATGCGTGGATGATCTATCTAGCTAGTTAGCACTTTCCTCCTTATATATACATATATAATTTTTTTATTCTAATGCTGAATCTCTCTCTCTCTCTCTCTCTCTCTCTGAGAGAGAAGTCAGGTCATGTACTTGGTTATATTAATTTATTCGGGTAAGGAAAATTCGAAAGAATTTAGAAGGCGGTGGGATGTTGTACAGTATGGGTACCTGGAGCTTGAGTAATCAAAGAGCTTGCCAGTTTGAGAAAAGATGATAACACCAACTTCACATTCACACAGAATCGACAGCTCTTCAGCTTTCTTGAAAATCCCTCTTCTCCTCTTTGAGAAGGTCACCTGCCTTGCCGGCAAGTAGTCGATCCTCCTGATCTTGATCTTCTCTTTCATCCTTTTCAGCATTTCTTCCTACCCCTGCAAAAAAATTTATTCAAATAAATAAAATAAACCAACCATTCACATATATAAAATCGTCCACAAACTCAAAAACTAGCATATATTTTCTGGGTTTTTTTTTCATAATTTTAAAGATTATTGACCTCAAACCCTAGCATCTCAGATCTGTATAAGAAAAACAAAACCCAGAAAAACCCACCACAATCAACTGTCCAACAAGCCTACAGTAGAAGAAGAAGAAGAAGAAGAAGAAGAAGGAGGAGGAGGAGGAAGACCATACATAAATTAATTACACTGGGTTTTCCGTTGTTATTTGTTTACCTTCGTTGGGGGGTTTCAGGTCTGAAGTTTTGGGAAATTTGCAGAACAGCAAAAGAAAAGCCAGCAATTCTGGAAAGAGAAGGAAGAGAGAGGAGAGAGAGTTGGGGTGCTGCCGGCAGTTCAAGAAAGGAAAGGTTGCTAAATTAAGTTTCCTAATTATGGAAAAATAGGACAAATTTTCCTTTGGTTATCACTGTTTGTGCCTTTTTCTTTTTTTAGATATTTTTTGGGAAAATAAGATTAGAAACGCGGAACGCAAATCAGTTGGCGTGATGAGTGATGAATGCGATCACGACCGTCTATAATATGTGGACTGGACGACAGTAAGGCTGGGGATTCTCCGTTTAATTCTTTTTACGTACCACACCGTTGATTTTCCTCACCCACTTCGTCTATCTCACTTCTTTATCCCAAACAGCAGCGGTAGCAGCGATCGCTGCAACACTTGCTGGCAATACTCACTCCCACTTGTGAAACCAAACTCCCCAAACCCCACCCCCCGAGTTTCAGTAGCCGCATTCTCCAAACCCTCTTCCCCTAATGCCATCCCGCCCCTCTCGTCTTCTCTGTAGAGCAATATCTTCATATGATTTTCTTAATTTAAATAAATTATGGTCAGTGGTTCTATATCTCCCTCTCCTCTTCTCTGCAATCTCTTCATGTGACTGAATCTTCATTTTTTTTCTGTGGCGGTGGTTTGTTGAGATCTGTAAAAAAACCAAAATTATTTTCATGGCTCTGCAGAAGATGTAAGTTCGCTGAGCCGCGGCACCACTAACAGATCAAAGAGTACCTGTTGCCAATCCACCGGTATAGATCCCGCCTAACTCCTGGAAGGCTCCTTCTCCTGTACCCAACATATTTGATTTACGGTTTGTCAGACAGACGGCGGCTGGAGAAGACGGGCATTGCCGACAAAAAGGACAGAAAATGCCAAATGAAATACGGTAGAGAGAGAGTGCATGGCAGTATGTGCATAATAGGAAAAGCAGGGATATTTAATTGGAAAACCGAGCGAATGCACAATTATAACAGAGCAACACGTGTCAATTCAAAGCTTTGAATTTAAGAAAACTAATTATAACGATTTGAAAGTTTTGAGTTTTAACAATAAGAATAAAACAAATGATAAAATGAATAATATCAAGTTTGATTTTTTAATGTAAAAATGTAATTTTTCGTTAGAGTAAATAATACCGAAAGCTTTTCATTAAAGTTCCCTTAAATTTAATGTGTACCATATCTGAATTATAGAAAGAATAATACTAAGGATACTAAATTTAGTCTACAGATAATAATGTTATAAACAACATCCATTTAAGTCATATTTTACAAATTATATTTTATAAATCATATGATTTTTGTTTCAATCATATGACTTTATTAGTGATGATTCAATTATTATTTAATTATTAATTAACGTGCTTATTTCTTATTAATAACATATCACAAAATTTACAAATGCAGACTAAAGAATTAATCTATTGCCATGCTGCATGGAACACAAATATAACACAAAATGGCACTCCCCCGGATATGTCCTCCAATAACTCGACTTCATTTGCTAATTTTAAGGAAGTGTGCTCTCAATCTTGGTCAACTTCTTAACTAGGAAAACTAAGGAAGCCTGAAAATAGAGAATACAAAATTGATTAGCAATTTCACTGAAAATGTTGTAGCATCCTGGCCGTACAGTTATACTTACCAACATCATGAATTTGCGATCTCGTACGAAATCATGCAAGTGATTTTATATGCCGTATGCTGTAGTATTGAGATAGTGGAATCCCATATTTTCGGTTGAATAACGGCCGGTAATCGTCACTGTAACAATCTATTAGTTGACAACTTAACATGAAATCATGCAAGTGATTCAGATTTAATAAAATAAATATAAATATGCATAGGCAGTACAAATAAAACATGAAATCATGCAATTGATTCACAGTTAATAAAATTAATATGCATAGATAGTGCAAGTAATGAAGAATTTATCGTATGATTAATGTTAGACACTAATCCAGTAGCTAGGTTAGACGATTCAGATAATATTTGTAGAAAAGTAATAAAATTTAAAAAAAAAATTAGTTTCTCTGGATAACACATATGTGCTATCCTCCACTAGTCCACTATTTTACCCTTGGTTTTCTCCAGATTTTTCTTTCGGGTAACGAAACGAACCAAACGGCCCAAAGAAACATTAGGTACATGAAAAAATTCTGAACAAAACCCAGATGAGCACTTGAGCTAATCTATGGACGTACAATAAAAAATTCACAACAGTCGGGTTTTCTTTAATTTGGTACAAACTAGTTGGTTTCATCAAATATTAATTCTCTTTTTTAGTAATCACGGGCTAAAAATAAAAAAACAGGTAAACCTATATCCAAACTCAAGGTCAAAGAAGGCGTGGCAATCCCAGTTTTATATTTGAACACGAGCTCGAGCTCGCCACGAAGGAGATGGACTACGTTCAACCCAAGCTTTTATTAAGACCTTCCCTAATGGCTTTTTTTCCCTTAAAAGAAAAGAAAATTTAAGTGCTTTAAACTGGTAATGTGTAATATTCGACCTGATCATGCTGAAATGAATCAGCTTGAGAGAACCACCCATGATACGTAAGCAAAAGCTCCGCAAGGACAGCAGAATATCCCTTGTTAGCTTCTAGCAGCCTCAGCTCCTTGCATGTATAATCAGTGCATGCAGAGGACAACAAAGCAAAAGTTCATTAGTGATAATTATTTTCTTTCTGGAAACTCTATTTTATATATAAACACAGAGACAACAATCATCTATTTAACTACAAACCTTTTTCTCAAGTGCCATAATCTCATTCGTAATCTTCTTCTTTTTTCCTGAAAAATGGAAAATTTGGAATTAGATGTTGTATAGAGATATATAATCCAAAACAAAAATGTTATTCTAATCATATTTTTCATACCACATTTGTACAACATTTCTAATAGACGTAAGGCCCCAGATGTGGTACGATATAAAAAATGTGATAAGAGTAACATTATGTATTTCGTAAAATAACCTAATTAAAGTATATATACTTGGGTCAATTTATATTCTTTACAACCGCCCAAAAAAAAGGTAAGGTCTTCATTCAAATTGACCAAAGGCTTAACGTGTTGATCTATTTGTTTGATTAAACCCAGCCATAGTTCACTCATGCATAGTGAAAAATATGAAATTAGAGGAAGAAGTGCAATATTACTTTTATGGAGCTAATAACAAATTCTCTATTTGAAAGTTATTAAGACATTTGTCTTATTCTGCAAGAATGATATTTGAACAAAGACTAATTAAGCAATGGATCATCCGGATCATTGCACAATAGTACGTACTAAGACTCAAAAATGTGTTCCTCTATCCAAAGGATACCTAGATTTTAGAAGCCATGGTCGCCTGTATTCACTTGTAACAGTATAAATTAGCTAGCTAGAACATACCTTAGTTTCAATCACACAGCCAAGGCTTGCTTCCACCTATTTTTCTAACTTTTGCAGTTCATCCAGACCCAAGTCTTGACGTTCCTCACCTTTCATCTGCCTTTTGCATGCCAAACCAATTTCAGCAGACTCTCGTCAAACGATCATACCAGCTTAATTAACCACCATACATCTTACAAGCAAATTGATAAATTATAATTACCTAAGCTTGCGGGTCTTATCTTCAATGGAAGTTAAAGCTATAACTTGGAGTTATTACTTAACCACACGTACTTGCACATATTTAGCCCAAAAGGCCAACCATGATAATGTGACAACTACGCGTCCCACATTTTGATTCAAATTTGTGCCACGTGGACAAACAAACAATTAAAATTGGATACAACTATGATTCTAGACTGAGCAGAGGGTCGTCTGATTTTGGGCTCCATCTGCTTACAGCCTCAGTGGGCTGATGCCTCAAAATATTTTTTTAATTTAATTATTAAATATTTATTTTATTTTTATAGTTTATATAATTTCAATTAGTTGTTTGTCCATGTGGCACAAATTTGACATCACATTATAAAAAATGTGGGACCCACATTTGACACATCATCATTTAACATTAAATTAACGGACTGACTAACGAATGTATGATATTTCAACGAAATCGTAAGTTGATGTATGAAATAGCAATGTTCAAAAAACAAGTTATGAGTTTGTTATGGGACTCAAACTATGCAAAATGTAATTTACCTTTTTATTTATGTTAAAGAAATGAAATGCCGTAAAATTACATTCCATAGCTCCGAGTGTAGATCACAGAATGTGTTACATTCACTTGACACAGTTAATTGTTATACCACAACAACAACAACAACAACAACAACAACAAAGCCTTTTCCCACTAAGTGGGGTCGGCTATATGAATCCTAGAACGCCATTGCGCTCGGTTTTGTGTCATGTCCTCCGTTAGATCCAAGTACTCTAAGCCTTTTCTTAGAGTCTCTTCCAAAGTTTTCCTAGGTCTTCCTCTACCCCTTCGGCCCTGAACCTCTGTCCCGTAGTCACATCTTCGAACCGGAGCGTCAGTCGGCCTTCTTTGCACATGTCCAAATCACCGGAACCGATTTTCTCTCATCTTTCCTTCAATTTCGGCTACTCCTACTTTACCTCGGATATCCTCATTCTCAATCTTATCCTTTCTCGTGTGCCCATACATCCCACGAAGCATCCTCATCTCTGCTACACCCATTTTGTGTACGTGTTGATGTTTCACCGCCCAACATTCTGTGCCATACAACATCGCTGGCCTTATTGCCGTCTTATAAAATTTTCCCTTGAGCTTCAGTGGCCTACGACGGTCACACACAACAATGCTGGATGCACTCTTTACACTTCATCCATCCAGCTCGTATTCTATGGTTTGAGATCTCCATCTAATTCTCCGTTCTCTTGTAAGATAGATCCTAGGTAGCGAAAACGGTCGCTTTTTGTGATCTTCGCTAAATTGCTCCGGTCATTAGTGTGGATAAGTATATAAATGGATAGAGATAGGAAAGCAAACACAAGATGTACGTGGTTCACCCAGATTGGCTACGTCCACGGAATAGAAGAGTTCTCATTAATTGTGAAGGGTTTACACAAGTACATAGGTTCAAGCTCTCCTTTAGTGAGTACAAGTGAATGATTTAGTACAAATGACATTAG